CTCCTGGCTGCCTACATCACATGCAGTGTTTTCTACTGCTTTGGCTTGTGGCTCTGTATCTTAGCTAAATGAGTCTACCATTGCCAGGTTGCACAGCAAGGTTACATGTCTAACCTGCTGCTTAGGCAGTGCTGGAACAGACCTAGGCACACATGACAAGCTGTGCTCCTCCTCATGAAACACAGGACAGAGTGTGCCTTACCCACAGCAAGAGTCACTCCTGGCACATGTTCAGTCTCATGCACACTGTGCTCCAGCTCCACTGCAGCAGGGCCCTGGCTCTGCTGGTTGCTTCCCAGCTGGGACCAATGCATAATGGTTATCCTACCCCATGTCCTGCCCCACCAGCACATTTGCTGGGCTTTGTGAGCTTCCTGCAGTCCAGTGCTCCCATTTCTGGTGCCCCTCCAGGTTGGGGCTCTGACGCTTCTTATGTCAGCCACTCCCTCAGTTCATCCCCTACCCACCAAACTACATCTACAATACCTACATCCCCCATCCTGTATGCCAATCCCTCTGCTACTGCACTCACGCCGAATTCCCCACCATGGGGCAGGGGATCCCAAGAGAGCAGGCAGAGGTGAAAGCCTGTCACAGAACGCCCTCTGCAGATGCTGCTCACCCTCCATCAGTCAGGGGACACGCTGGGCTGTCAGACAAGCATGCTGTGTGGCCTCTCTTGCTGCCCTCCAGACTAGCCCACATGAAGCCATGCTGGATGGAGAATGGGGTTGTCAGACCTCTCTCCCCAGTTGCATTTCGCCTCCCAAAGCCCGTGGTCATGGCCTGTTTTAAAACCACCATGGGTTTTCTTTTGATCTACAGAAGAATGACCACAACAGCTAACTCAGACCTCTCTCATGAACCTGGCTATATCCATGTGATGCTCCCAACAAGCAATTCTTTCTGTCTTGCAGCCCCAAGTTCCCATAGAAAATTCAACCAGGGGATGAAAAGCAGCATTAACTTGGAAAACCAGGATGGATGATAAATAACCATCCTGTTGATTAGGTGAAATTTTGCTCTCACAAGACAAGGCATGTGAACATCTGATGCAAATATGCAGTGGCCACATCCACTCGTCTGTTGCTTTCCAGCCCCTCTTCTGCCACATGACAGGGCTCCATGTGGCAGCTGCACACCATTTCTCCCTCAGGAGTTTCATCTGGGTCCCCATGCCACACTCTGGGTATAAAGTGTTTCCAAAATCCATGCAATCACCTCTCTGATTTTCCCTCCCACTAATTCCAGTCAGGTGTGAGATGTCTTAAGTTAAGTGGCTTGGGATATTTTTTTGCAGACACATGCTCTGAAAGTGAATGAAGGATGTCCTCATCTTCTGTCTTGTTCCAAGGCTCAGGCTTGTGGTCCCCTCCCAGATATCAATCATGAGCTGCAGGTCACAAAGCAGCATGATGGTGTGGAGACCATCTGACACATGAACAGCAAGGTCCTTGCACCAAACACAGAGCCAATAAAAAATATTACACAAACAAGCAAAATAAACAAAGCCCCAAACAAACAAAAAAGGCCCTTGCCATCCCACTGCAGGGGCAATGAGCCTGTGGTGAAGGCTGTGCTATGGGGTGTGTGCTCTCGCTTCATTTGCATTTACCCAACCTCATATCGGATTTTGGCTCTACTTAGCCCTTGCCTTGGAGCACACTAAAGACAGCTCTGTTCTTCCTGGGACACAGAGGTAAAGCAACACGTTTCCTCTCCTCTTTGAGGAGAGGAGTCCTGCTGGTGGAACCAAAACTATGAGTGTGCTACACGTACTGTGCAGTGTGATGTGTCCACACATTTAATGTCTGCTTCCCTCTGCTTGCAGAAGCAACTCAGGTCACAGCGCCAAAGGAGAACAGAGCTTTCAAGTAGTTTACTCTCAAGGAATCTCAATGGTGCAGTTTGTTATATGGGATCAACTGTGCAGGGAATGAAGCCTGAACGAGTGGATTTTTTCCATGAGTGGAAATTGCTCTTGGAGACCCAAGCAGATGGGATTTTGGGTTGGCTAACTCTCTGGCATCTACTGGTGCTCACTCCAATCTTGAGAGGCTAAGGCACAATGCCCTTATGCAGGGTACATTCTGCAGTGCCTGGTCTCAGAATCGGTGACCATTCTGGTCAGCTGAAGGCTGCAGAGCTCAGTGAAGGCAGCATCTGAGCTGTGAAATTTACACAAGAAAAAATGCTGACCCTGGACTTCATCCCAGAGACCGAAAGAAAGTCCGAGCTATGAAAGAAGTAGCTTTTATATTTTTAACACTCCTGTAGATACCATACATTTTCTATTGCATTATGACCTCAAAATATTTAGTCAATGCATGGCATTTTCTATTTTACATACCTTTGTCCCCCCTCCACTGTAACTGAACCAAAAGAGAAAACAAAATGTTCACAAACATGAAAAGCACCAACTCTTCTGCTCCAGGAGCAGGCAACACTTTGATTTACAAGTGGAAGAGATGTGCAGTCTAAGATTCACCCGGGTGAGTCTGAGTTTCCCATTTCCCATAGTTCTTTCCCCATAGGAGATGGTATTCAAGAGAAACACGAGTGCTTAAAAAGGGACATATTCCTGCTCCCAGAGTGCAGAGCTGAGGATGTTTTTAAACAGGCTGATGATAATGTCAGTTTGAGGACTCTCTCCAAGCCACCACAGTATACAACTCCCACTTCACTTGCAAACACTGGCGTTACAGTTTTACAGTTTAACCTGCCTGGTGTGGGAGCGTGAAGGCACAAGAGCCAGCGCATGCTGTTTGGGTATCCGTTTCACTCTGCTTACACGCTGGGGTCTGCCAAGGAAAGCGTCTTCCTGGAAAAGGATTCTCATCCCTAGCAGGGAGGGCAAACGCAGCCCCTCGTCACACCATCCCGCTCCAGCGCGCACCTCGCTCGTTCTCATCCTTCCGCAAGCGCCAAGCGCATCACGATCTGACTTTGCCCTCTGGAGGCACGGAGCTGGCATGGCGCAGGCACATACACAGCGCCGGAGGCGACTGGACCACCGCGCTGCCTCGTGGAAAATCTGGTAGGAAAACCCATCTCCGGCTGCCGCGTCCCGGGAGCCAGAGGGCAGCGCAGGGCCGCCGAGGCAGCTCCGCTGCTCACCTTTCACGCTGAAGGAGCCGGTTTCTTGGTTCCTCCAGGGTAACGGTATCCTGGCGCTGTGTGTACTTCAGGAGCAGCAGCGTCAGAACGGAAGGCCGGTTTTCCTTTCAGTACAAACTGTGCAGCGTGGGATCTGAAATCTGCATCCAGCTACTGGGACTGCAAGCACGGGTCCTCAAGAGTGCCGCTTCATGGCCTAATTCTGCTAGCTCCACGGTTTGCTCGGGCGCTGGGAAGTTGCACAAATAAGCAAGTGGCAAAAACAGTTCTGCGGTCCCCTTATCTAGGTAGAAACCAGGGCTGGGTTTTGTTTGCTGCATGCAAATAGATCCCCACACCCCCACTCCCCAATTTTTCTGCGAGCAGAGAGAAAACTTTGTTGGGAACCCCTGAGGGAGCCCTGTTTCACTTCAATAAACATCTCCCACTTCCCTTTACTCCCGTCAACACCCTTTGTGCAATGGCAGGGGGCTTTGGGAAAGCTTTGCCCACAGAGAGACTCAGACCGAAACTCTGGGAGAACTGACAGAAGGCACTAAGAGACGGGCAGAACTGGCTGTACAGCCACGCAAAGAAGCTGCACATGCATGCACATCCACCTTGCGCACACAGCCGTTCCTGCATACCTGTGGACACTCATGCCATGGATCCAGCATACTGGCACATGTTTGTACACACACTCACATGTCAATGCACAGCCACAAGCTCTAATGGACATCCTCAACCCCACACTGCCCTTGTACACCCAGGTACCCGTGCATGCTCACCCTGCCATGCCCACACATCCCTGTGAACACCTGCACACACTGACCCTTTTCACCCCACTTCTAGGACCTCCTGCCATTCCCTTTATCCCAGGGCTCCCAAGGATGACCATGACAGCAGGCAAGGAGGCTGTGCTGCCTCCAGCCCCGCGGGTGAGTGCTGCAGGGGTACAAGTCCTGGCCAAGCGTGCACTTATGGCACTTGTTCTAACCCACAGGCCGAGGATCTAACCCTCATCCCCAACTATCTGAGCAAGCAGGGGAGAGCTGACAGGAAGGTAATATCTCAGCCACAGCCAGTGTGAGGATCCTTCCTAGCTGGAAGGATCATGTACCTGGAGATCCTGTGACACAAGGATCAAGGACAAGCAGGTCTGATCAGGGGTGAAACAACGCACGAGAGTCCAGCTGTGTGCCAAATTGCCATAGGGGACCGGAGGTGAGAGCCCCATACTGACCGTATCTTACATAGCAACTCGGCACTCCAATTGTGCTGTGTAAGCCCACACTTACTATCTCTCCCCACACACATCTGTCACCGGGTTGAGGGGGTAGCAACGTTTATTTCGTTTCTGCCTCTTCACTGCTGTGAAGAAGCGTAGGGCTGAGCAGGCGACCCTTCCCAGTGCCGCGGACCGTCAGCATCCCCGCGGACAGCGGCGGCCGCGCACCGCACCGCACCGCACCGCACCTCGCCTCGCCTCAGCCGCCCGCCAAACCGTCCCGGAGCCGCTCAGGAGGGGATCTGGAAATGCCCATGCCGAGACACCGTACCGGGACACCGGAGACCCTCCTGCTCCCCACCGCTGCCTGCCGCTCCGCCAGAGCTGAGCGCTCCTAACGACAGCGAGAGGGATAGCGGCGCCCCGATGGCGCTGGGGTTGGGGACCGCGGGAGGGGAACGGGGACCGCGGGAGGGGGGCTGGCGCTGCCCCTGCCCGTGCCCGCGGCGGCGGCGGCACGCCCGGCCCTGCCCGCGCCTCCCGGGCTGCGGGGCGTTGCAGGGGGAGTGCCGGCCGTCCGGGTGCGGAGCCGCCGGACACCGCCGCATAAAAGCCGCAGCGGCGCAGAGCTGAGCCTCTTCGGCTCGGCCCGGCGCGGGGCCGCCCCGACGGCCGCATGACCGCCGAGAGCCGGCTGCCGCCTGGCCCCCCGCCGCTGCCGCCGCTGCCGCCGCTGCCCCCGCCGCTGAAGGCGGACGCTGCGCCGCCGGGGCAGGAGGCGGCGGCGGCGGCGGCGGCGTTAGGGGCGCGGGGCGGCCGGGGGCGGCGCAAGCGCCCTGCTGAGCGGGGCAAACCGCCCTACAGCTACATCGCCCTCATCGCTATGGCCATCGGGCAAGCGCCCGAGCGGCGACTGACGCTGGGAGGCATCTATCGCTTCATCACCGAGCGCTTCCCTTTCTACCGCGACAGTCCCCGCAAGTGGCAGAACAGCATCCGTCACAACCTCACCCTCAACGACTGCTTCGTCAAGGTGCCGCGGGAGCCCGGCCGCCCTGGCAAGGGCAACTACTGGACGCTGGACCCTCACGCCCGCGACATGTTCGAGAGCGGCTCCTTCCTCCGTCGCAGGAAGCGCTTCAAGCGCAGCGATCTCTCCACCTACCCGGCCTTCCTCGCCGACCGTCCCGACGAGCCCTGCCCCCTCTTCCCGCTGCCCGCCCCGCCGCCCGCCGCCGACCTGCCCCCGGCACCCGCCGCTGCCTCCTGTTCCTTCGCCGCCGCCGCCGTTGCCTTCCCCGCGCAGAGCTGCGCCGCCGCCCTGCCGCACGGTTACGCACCGCTGCCCCCCGGCCCCGCGCCCTACGCGCCGGGCGGCCCCGGTCAGCTGTACGCGCCGTCGGGGCGCATCGTGCTGCCCGCCTCGCCGCCAGCCCCCGCAGGGCTCTACGGCCGCCGCTCTCCCGTGCCGTACCCGCAGCTGCCACAGGTCTACGGCACCGGCGGACAGCTGGGCGCTGCCGATCCCGGGCCGCTGCACGGAGCCTACCCCGGCGGCCACGACAGGTTCGTCCCCCCGCTCTGACGCAGCGCCGGAGAGGCCGGGCGGCCCGACGGCGGGGACCGGAGCCCGGCAGACAGCCGGCTGCGGGGTTCGCCCGGCGCTACTGGACCCGCGGCCGTCCGGGAAGATGCTGGAGGACTTTGTTCTGCGGCTCTGCCTCATGCCACCTGCCCGAGACTGCCGGCGAAGAGCGCTGCCGCCAGCCGTGCGGACCTGCGGGACCCTGCTCAGCCCTGTCTGCTCTCTCCAGAGAAGCCCTAGGGGCTCCCAAGTGCCTGGATGGGGCAAACAGCCCTTTCCTTTTCTACTGCCTTTTCTGGGGCAGGTGCCCACTGCTTCCTGACAGGTTCTCACCCTTCCAGCACACCCAGCTGGGCTCCCTGGTCTGTCCAAGATGATCTCACTTTTAACAGCCTCCTCGCTGTTAATGATTTTATTTACAGAGCTAAATGTCTGCTATGGTAGGGGACGAGGGAGGCAGGAGGAAGCATTCCCCAGCCTCTCATAGCCAGAGTTGTAAAGGTGGGACGTGTGGCATAACGCGGTGGCTTGTCCCTGATGGTGCGCAGGGCTATTGTGGTAATGCCCGGCTTTGCACCAACAACGAACAGGAGCAGGGCTGGGAAAGATTTGGGTGCTGGGGTTGCAGCCAAACACAGGAAGTAAAATCCTGACGGGAGTCATGCTCTGTGCTGCAGCGGTGGGACAATGTGGGATTGGAAGCATAAAAGCTTTTACCATGAGCATGTTCAGCCCCTGGAAGAGGGACCCAGTGAGGTCCTGGGCTCTCTGTCCTTCAGGGTCTTCCCAACTTGATTGCACAGAGCCTGAGTGACTTGACCTGTCTTTGGAGTTGGATCTAGCATTGAACTTGGACCTGCTTTGAGTGGAGACTAGTCCAGAGGTCTGTCGAGGTCTGTATATCCCAAATTACTTTGATCTTAAGGTCATCATAGCTCTGTCTGTGACCTAGAAGAAATCAGCACCCGGGGGGAAACTCTTCCTTCCTGAAATGAGTGAGAGAGGCAGGACATGGTGCCTTTTTATCTTTGGTTGCTCCCTTGTTAAGGGATAGCTGGAAAAAAGGCTAGAGGAAAACACGGAGAGGGGACAACTAATAGCAACAGCTGTTAAGGGCTTGAAAACAGATCCATGGGGAAACCCATGAAAATCCCTCTCAACAGATCCTGCCACCCCAGAAAGGTTCCCGGTGACATGGTGCGTGCCCTGGGGCTCTGTCAGGGGCTGTGAGTGAAGAGGGGCAGATGCAGTGCTGCTACCATCCAAATCTCTTTAGACAGCTACTTTTTCCTGTGGAGGTGGGACCATGTGTGATCGGGTCCAGGAGGAGGTTGATGAGAGGTGCTGCAGAGCGGTGGGAGCAGGAATGAAGAGAGGTAGGTGGAAAGTGCAGTCAGAGCCTCAGCAGGGGCTTTGGAAGAGCAGTGGGGGTGCACAGAGACCAGGGTCTCTTCCCACCACAAAAGGGTACAGATCATGGTATAACTCAGGCTGGGAGAGGCGCTGGGTATTTTCTGTTCCATGCTTGTGTTCGAAGGATGGTCAGCTATAACCTGTACAGTTTGCTCAAGCCTATCAAGGTGCGTCCTGAAAACCTCCAGGGATGGAGACAGTGCTGTTTCTTCAGGCAACCTGGCCGCCCTCGGGGGGAGAAGTTTCTCCTTTTATCCGCCCGGCACCTCTCTAGTCTCTTTTCATGTCCACTGTCTCTTGTCCCGTTGCTATGCACTGCTACAAAGAGCTCCGATCCCATGAAGACACCTGTACTTTCTGCTCCATGGAGAATGTTTCACGTGAGCTCATCAGCAGGATGAAATGACACAGGTTCTTCTCTGAGTGCTATACTCCAGCTATCCAAGTGGGACATGAGAGGGAGGAAATGGAGTAGGGTGGGAAGGTGTTTGTGTGTCCCTGCAGAACAGTTTGGGGTTGGGGAGGCTAAAGCTCTCTGCAGCAGGTGAACAGGAGGAGTTGTCTCTCTGCCTTCCCTTGGGTTCTGAAGTAGGAAATGACTTTTGGATTCAGGGCACCCACCCGTCTCTCAGAGAGATAGGGGTGGCACATTCTGGGTGAGCTACCTCATGGGCTGGGAGGGTGGTGCTGCTGACCCTGGTCCATCTGGACCTCTTCTGTAGTACTGCAGGAAACTGCAGCCTGTACACAGAGCTGGGGAGGTCACATTGCATTGCATTGCATTGCTGCTGGGGGGGGGGGCCCAACAAAGTGGCAAGCGCAGGCATCATTCCCATCCTCGGTGAGGTGAGGTGAATCAGATGTTTTCCATCCTTGCTTTCTCTCCTTCTCTCCTGAAGAGCTGTATTGTCTCTTTCAATGTCCTTCCTGGGCTTGGCATGTCTATAGGCTGCTTCCACCCTGGGTAGAGCAGAGTCCTGCCTCTGCAGCTTGGCTACCTCAGCGTGGGGCAGGTCTCCTCGGCTGCTGTGCCAGCTCCTCTCCCAGTTTCCTCTTTCCCCAGCTGGAAGAGAAGCAGCTCTGCCAGCTCTTAGTTTTGTGACAGCTGCCTACTGGCTCTCTGCCTGTATCTCCTGCAAGAACTGCACTGCATCCCTTTGTTGGCAGGTTTGCTAGCTGCTTTGGGGGGTAGCCGGGAGAGGAATTGTCCTGCCTTAATGCCTTCCTTTCTTCCTTCCTTCCTGTCAGAGCAGCTGTCAGTGTGGACCGGATCGTTTCCCTGAGTCTAGAGGTCTTCTGGCCCTTGTCCCCTGTTGCTTCAGCCTGGTTTTACTCTTTGCACCAGCTCTGGTGCTAGTCTAAGTTTCAGTTTAAAAGAAAGGCACCACTGTTGGGTGATACACGTCTTGTGCAAGCTGCTCCTGAACTCAGCATCTGCAGCAAGTTCAGGGAGCAAAACTCAGTGTCTGGAGGACGTGCATGGTAGAACTTGATGACTCAGAAGGCACAAATTGGGTAGGTTCGGTTGTGTATTGTTTGTGGATAAGGTCTAGATGCTTGGTATTTCCCTCCAGACCTTTTATTACCTACAAGGTAGGGAAACCAGACATACACAGAAAGCATGCTTTCTGCAGCAGGTACAGTCGTGAGCCTGTTGCACAAGGACCTGAGACACATGGCCACAAACTGCTTAAACTTCAGTCACAAGCAGCTGGAAACCATGGATAAGAGCTTTGTGCTTAGTAATGAGCTATATGGACCCTTTGAGGGACTCTACATCCATGCGAGGTCTCCCCTTTGGGGTTTTCAATATGAAAATTGACTGTGCTCTACCTGCCCTGTGCTAGTAGTGCTGGCAATGCTCCAACCTCCTGCTTGCAGCAAGCGTGGAGGCTCCAGAGATCCATTCCCACCAGCGCCGCTGTGGTTTCGTGGCTACTGCAACGTCCCCAGGCTGCCGTGCAGGCTCAGGCGCAGCGGGTACGCTGAACATCACACGTCTGTCCAGGCTCTACACCGTGTCAGCGGGGTTTGCTGACCCTGTGCTGGTGCATGTGGCTGTGTGTCTCCTGCGTGACCGCTGACAGAGGAAGATACAAGCTGTTGTGTCCCTGGGGAGCCATGGGGCTGAGCCTGCCTGTGAGGATATGGGGATATGCCGTGGGGATATATTAGACAATTGCATCTCAATGTATGCATGTGCCATGGGGATATGTTAAACATTTGGATCTCGATGTATTTTTGCCCGGCACTTTGCTTGTAATTTTCAGACACTGTCCAAAATTAGGAAAATTGTGATTTCTGGAAGCTATATTATAAATATCTGAGGGCCTTCCTTTTAGCACAGTTAGTCTAAGTTTCAAACTAATCTTTTGATTTTTGGAGGAAGTGTCCAGTAGGTTTGGGTTATAACCCTGAAGGAAACACTAAGTGTAAGCACTGATGACAAGAGAGAACGTCCTTGAAAGTGCTCCTTCCTTGAAGGACAGAGCCTCTCAGTTCCTGTTCTGCCTGAGGAGTTCTGGTGTGGTCAGGCCCTCTGCTGACTTTAAGAAAGGGGTGGATGGTTACAGCCTAGGAGAACATTTTATTATGTATCAGAGGGGTTTTTTTTATTTACTCTTCTACTTGCAATGGAAATAAATCTTTTTATCCTGTTGTTTGTAATAAAGTGTCTTTGGAGTTTTTTTTCCCTACACTCCTAAGACCCGGAGAGTGAGGATACAAAGCAAGATGCATGCCACATATTGATCCTTGCATTTTGCTGTGTCTGCTTTGTGTTGGCTTTTCTTGATCTGCTGGGATTGCTGAAGACATCGGAGGGAGGGGATGGCAACGCCAGGCCGGAGGTGGCTTACCAAGCTCCTGCAACCACTCAAGTCACCAGTCTGCTTCCCGGTCTCCCACCAGGCAGTAAGTGTGCCCCACACATCAGTGCATGAAGCTGCAGCCCAGCCATGTGCCTCTGCTAAAAAGGGGCAGGTATGGAAGCTAAGGTTGTTACCTGCATAAGGAACACAAGCTAAGAGGTGGGTGAGGGAATTGTGGTTGCTGTTACTGACTTTCTGATTGCTCCAGCTTGGAGCCAGGCCAGCTGGAAAAGATTTACTGCTGGAAACAGCATTGTGTTACCTGTCCTGTGGCAGCAGCACTAAAAATGCTTGGTCTTCCTCCCTGCACCCCAGGATGGTGAGGTTTGTTGGCTATGGAGCTGCAGTTCCTGCAGCTGCAGGCTGACACCACATTCACCTTATGCAGCAGCAGCATTTGTAGGAGCAATTCACCAAGCAACAACTGTAGCTAATGCAAGGTGCAATAGGAGCAACTCCACACCTTGGGGCGACGATCTGGCTTGCACATGGCTAAGATACTGGCAGATGCTGCCCCTTCTCCTGCTGAAAGGGTGGTGACCTGCTTCCCGAGGGGTTCTGGGGAAAGCGAGCTCTGCAGCTGGTGCTCTGTCAGTAGCCCAGGCTGCCTGAAGGGTTATGAATGAGACAGAAACAAGTAGTTTAATCTGCTAAGTGATCAAAAAGCAGATAGGAGTATCTTCTTCAAGAGCTGTAGGACTCCCACGTATGATTTATCTGCCTTTGGAGGAAGCCAAGAAGTGCATCAAATTTATGAGGAGTGTGCAGGGAAGGCAGCTGCCATTTGTCCAGGAGGGAGTATCTTGGAAGGATACCAAAACTCTGTAAGTCATAGTTGGAGGTCAGTCTGTGTGGCTGGAGAGGAGCTTTAGCTGCATGCTTTAGCTGCATCTATTACCGAGGACTGCGATGCTGGGTTAGTGGTGGCATAGGGACAATGTCACACTCATGCAGCACCTGGATATGAACTCTTGTGGGCACAGGAAGGCTGATGCTCTCTGGGAGACTGAATGTGCAGAGTTTTGGTGTGTGGGGATACAGTGGCCCAGGCTGGCACAGAGAATAGCTTCACACTCTTGTCTTGACATATGCCTGGAGCCCAGATTCATAGGAGGCATCATCTAGACAACAAAGCTGATTTCTCAGCTCATTTTTTCTGTTTGTGTTTCTGTCTTCTCCGTGTCTGAGGCCAAGAAGTCAAGGTGGGAGATGGTGGCATCAGCTGTACTTGGAAGCCGGGGTTATTTCTGGGAGCTACTTGAAGATTTGGAGCAGTCACCTCAATGTCTATGTGAGCACACTGAGAGGGAAGGAACAGGCACCTTCTATTGCTCCCTCAGGAAGAAGGAACACACAGTTTATCATCCTTCATCCGTGGAAAAAGAAGGGCATCCACAAAAGGGACAGGACCCACTTCTAGTGGGATATGGGTCTCAGGGGCTTTTAAAATCCAACACCAACGTTATCACCAGAGATGCTTAACAGCTCTGGACCAGGCTGAAATACTGATTCAACATTAATCTTGGTCTTGGGGTTTGTTTCTGTATGTGTGTTGGTTTTCAGTGGTTCCCAAATTGGTTTGGTTTTTTGTTTGGTTGTTGGCTTGGGGGTTTGTTTTGGGTTTTTTTTCTGTTCTTGTTTTCAATAAAATTGCCTTTACTTGAATAACATGGGTTTGCACTCCTACAGCAACAAGTGACTGACTGCTGCAATAGGCTGGGACCCATGCAATTGCCATGGAGTCACAGGCAGTTCAAGCCATGAAGAATAAATAATTGTTATCAGTATAAAAGAAAGCAGATATAAGTGCTAGCTATCTGGTCACTGACTCCTGTCTTAGCCAAGCAACCTAAAATCAGCTCAGGCCAAGACAAGACCAGTTAAGTCCTAGTCCTCTGCACTGTGAGGTCAACACAAAGCCATGTGCCTGAAAAGCAATATATTTGGAAGCTGCATTCAAGACCAGGTCCTGTGTACAATGACAACCAAAGACCCCACACCAGTGGGCTGGGAGAGGACTGTCTCTTGCGATGGGCCAAGTTTATTCTTCTTTCTGTTGTGTCTCAGGGCTCCTCATCTGTGTGGCCTGATCTGCTGTGCTGCAAGCAGCAGAGCTTGGGGGGGCTAAGTGGGACAGATACAGCCCAGGGATGGTGCTTCTCTGCTGGGGCTGTGTCCA